AATCTTTCTCCATTATATTCTTCTAGGGGAATTTCTTGAAAAGGATCCAAAGGAAACAAATGATGGTAAGACCGTGCCAAGTGGGGGACAGACACCAAAGTAAGACCACAGATTTTACATTCAACAGGTAGCTCACAGTACTTTGCTCGACACTGTGGGCAGAAATAGCCTCCTAATGTAAGCCCTGGCTCAGTATTGCCATCCAAATGCGCCATGCTGAAAGAGGGTTTTGCATCCTGGTCAGATAAAGAAGCAATGGTGTGCTGAGGAAATCCCGTATGAATAAGCGAGCATTCAGAACTTGAGCTAGCAGGAGGAGGACTAACATGATGTGTGAGTAATTCTTTGTAATGGCTTTCATCTAAAATAACATGGTATGTGCCACCAGTTTCACGAGCAAGTACAGTGCAAACTCGAACCTCTGCAGACAATCCAATAACAGATACTCTAATTTTAGCTGCCTTTAGGGTCTTGATTAGATCATAAATATTAGATGGATCACAAGTTGTAAGGCTGCTGAAGATGATTAGTACTTCTCGACTTGTATGTCCGGGCATGTTTTAGAGTTTGCATAGCCATGCTTAAGGAATTATAAAGAGATGGCTCTCCATGGCAGGTTATATCCACAGCTTTCTTCAAAGATGTTATATGTTTTCTTGGGTTTCCTGAGAGTTCAGTCAGTTTTTCAGCTCTTTTACTCTTAGTTACAATTATTCCAATCTGACTAATAGGATTTTGATCAAAATATTCCTCTACAAAGTATTCCAACAACTTTAAAGTACATGTCAGTCTATTAGGCTTTAAATCTTGGTCTTCCATTGTTCTTGATCCATCTACTACCACATAAAGGTGACCCATCATTCCAAGTCGAACTTGTCCATGGTGCTCAAATACTCTTTTTCTCTTTGCCTTAAATAGAATGTCTTCTATTGTAGCTTTAAGTGATCCAGATTCATTTTCTTTAAGAATCTCCCATGTTCTTTCATAGCCTCCTTCCCATTGCTTAGTTCTTTCAGGTTCTTCATCCATTTTTTTTAAAGGCAATTTTTTTAAGTTTATTCGATATATTTGACGATCAGTGATTAGTTCTCATCCACGTTGACTGTCTGTAGATTTTTGAAAGTGGTAACGGGCACATAGGTAACCAAAGTATAGAGCTTATTTGGTGAATCTTCAACCTCATTACGTTTTCTGGACAACCGCACACGGATTCGGTATGGGACATTCCTTATTCCTTTGGCCCAGACAGCTTTGTTGAGCCTGGTATCAATGCGCACATCTGGAGTTCCCATCTCCTTCATAGCAAATTTCCGAATCTCTTTGAGTGCCCGAGGGGCACGCTTCTTGAAGCCCACTCCATGGATGCGCTTGTGAATGTTGATGGTGTATTCTCGGGTCACCACCTCGTTGATGGCAGAACGGCCCTTTTTCTTCTCGCCACCCTTCTTTGCAGGAGCCATTTTGCCGGGTCCCCATCCATTTTTTTTAAATGTATTTTATTATTCAATAATCGACCCCGCTGGAAGGACGCTCCCCTTTTTTTTTTTTTTTGAGGCAGTTTCTCTCTTGTTGCCCAGACTGAAGTGCAATGGTGTGATCTCAGCTCACTGTAACCTCTGCCTTCCAGGTTCAAGTGATTCTCCTGCCTCAGCCTCAGGAGTAGCTGGGATTACACGCATGTGCCACCACACCCAGTTAATTTTGTATTTTTAATAGAGACAGAGTTTTCCCATGTTGGTCAGGCTGTTTTGAACTCCCAATACCAGGTGATCCGCCACCTCAGCCTCCCAAAGTGCTGGGATTACAGGTGTGAGCCACTGCGCCTGGTCAGCAAAACTTCTTTTGGTACTTCTGTGACTAGTCTTCCTCTCTCCTCCAAAGGCAGCTGAACCCCAAAGGGCCCTCTTAGTATATAATTCCTTTTTGAATGCCCTTTGCTTTAAACTTTCTCAAACTCAGCCTCTAAATACACTGCTTCTACTTCCCAACCCTTCTGCAAATTTTGTCTTGTTATTTCCTAGTCTCTGCTCCCAGGAGCTTGGGTCTCCAATGTCCTCTTTCTAGACAAAACTATTGACCTGTACTCCATCTTAATTTTCTTGTGGTCTCTAGTGGCATTTCATATTACTCACCATTCTTTCTACTTGAAATTCTCTTCCCTTGGTTTCATCAGTATATTTTCCTGTTACTTTGTCCAACTCTTCAAATGCTCCTTTTCTGTTTTCTTAGCAGAATCTTCTCCCGCACCCATGACCATGGGCCTTCCCCAAATTTCTATCCTTAGCTCTCATCTATTCTCCATTTGTGCTCTTCTCTTGGATCCCCTGAAGATCTCTTCTTTCTGATAAAATCAGTGATCACTTGTGTAGTGAGAACTCCCCCAATTTTGTATCTGTACCTCTGACTTCTCAGCTCCACTCATGTCTCCAACTGCTCAGCAGACAGATGCACAGGATATCCCACCAGCCCATCAAGGCCACCCAGAAGGTCATTGGTTTTCCCCTTACCATCACCCCCATGTCTCTCAGTAGTCTACTGTTTCTTAATCTCTCAGGCTAAAAACTTTTGTTACCTTTAACAAATCTCTTTCTTTCACCCTCTGTGCCCTATGTCCAAGTCCCTTTCTCTCTTCCTTCAAAGTGTGATCTTTTCTATTCAATTTTGCATCCCCAACTGAGTCCTGACCTTTATCACTGAGTCCTGACCTTTATCACTGAGTCCTGACCTTTATCACTTCACTCTGAGATCACCATCTCAGCTTCAGAGCTTATCCCTCTCACTGCGGACTCTGCTCATTTCTAACTATTTTACATAGAATTAATAGATGTTGTTTCTTAAAACACATTTTTTTAAATTTACCAAAATTTAATTGAGCAAAAATCAATTTGGGAATAGAGCCACCCACAAACCAGAATGGATTCAGAGAGACTCCAGCACAGGTCATGTCGTTGAAAAAGATTTATGGGCAGAAAAAGGAAAGTGATGAACAGAAACACATTTTTTTTTAAGCTAAGAGTAGTAAGATGACTTATCCACTGGTATCACAACAAACAATAAATAAAAGAGCCAAGAACAAAACTTAATTCTGCCTCCCTCCAAAGCCTGCATGCTTTCCATTGCCCCACTGATCCTTGGTCTAACATTCAAAATTCAGACACAGCCTACCTCACCAGCTGGTGGCGGAGTCATTGATTCTCTCCATAGGCCTCTCACTTTCTCATCTGGGGTTCTTGCAGTTTCAACCCTACTAAAAGCTCTAGGATCTGATCCACTTATGGCTAATTAAAGGATTCCCGCAAAACCACTGAAGCGCTCCACAGGAAATCAGCTTTTTGACCAATTCTACTTAGACTTCACCCAATTCTGGTAACAAGGTCTGGTTCTGTGCTTCAAGCCAAATTATTGCCTTCATTTAGGTCCAATATCTTTGATCCCCTAATGATAGAGTCCTCCAGTAATGGGGACCCTCAGTCCTTTGAGGTCCTGGCTTCCAGTTCTGGTTACTGGCTTCTCTTGACATTAACAACTCACCTAAGTAGATACTCACCTGTATTAGCTGCCCTGTAGTCTGGATGGCTAACATCTTTTCCTTTTATTACCTGGGTATTTGTGAATGTCCTTCTGCTGAAACTATTCAGCTGGCCGTTCAGGTCCTAGACCTGCCTAGACTCTGCTTCCTATAGCTCTCCATACCTGTCCAATCTATCCTGTTCCCAATGAGCCCCCCAGGTACATTATTCTCCACCATTTGTCTGGAAACCTGTATTTCAGCCAATTATTTTTTTTTTTAATTCTTAATCTTTACCAGACTTGTTTCAAAAGCCCAGGTCCTTTCTGAAGCTGGCAAGCTATCTTTTCTTCCTTGAAGATCCACTGTACAGTAATCAATCAGTAAGATGTACTGAGTGCCAACTGAGTGCCGCTCTGTGCTGTACACAGAACATTTCTGGTTTTTGTGTTTTTCTTTTATAATTTAAACTTTTATTTTAGATTCAGGGAGCACAGGTGTAGGTTTGTTACCTGCGTATATTACAGGATGTTGAGGTTTGGGGTACACATAATCCCACCACCCAGATAGTGAGCACATTACCCAAAAGGTAGTTGTTCAGCCCACACCCTTTTCCCCCTCTCTGCAGCCTCTAGTAGCAGAACATTTCTTGATCAGACCAGCAGTCAATAAACTAAAGAAAGTTCTAAAGTTAGGAGTCGCATTAAATCAAATGAAGACTTTTTTAATGTATCATTTCCCCATAACTAAACCAAAATCGGTCCTCAACTGGCTCAGATTTATTAAATTCATAGTCAATAAATTTACACTTTCCTCAAATCTAAAGAGAGAAAGCACCGCTCCGCATAAAACATCAATACTTTTCTTCTACTTCACATCACTTTAGGATAATTATACTGCCATCTAGTGTCTACCAAAGGAGGAAATCGTTGACATAGCTAAGAAACTATCAATAGAAAACATTCTAAATAAGGACTAATCATGAAACCTTTTTTTAAATTTTTATTATATTTCTTACTACACCCAGCTAATTTTTGCACTTTTAGTAGAGATGGGGTTTCACCATGTTGACCAGACTGGTCTCAAACTCCTGACCTTGTGATCTACCCGCCTCGGCCTCCCAAAGTGCTGGGATTACAGACGTGAGCCACCGCGCCCGGCCAATGATGAGATATTTAAGTATCTAAAACAGGCAATACTTTCCAATGAGCAAAAAAAAGTGTCTCCAGTCAATAAAAAGAAATATGTCTTCCAACTCTGAGATTACAAACATTGTCTTTAAAACTATAACTTAAGCTTATCAAGAACAGGAAACTAGGTGTCAGATTCACAAGCAGCATGGTGCTTAAAAGAACAATTCAAATATATTATTTAAGGAAAGAAACCTGAAATTTATTTTTCTTTCATAGAACATGAATGTATAATTCACCCTTCATATGAACCACCTGAAAACTAGCAATTAGGCGCTGAAATTAAGAAAATCTGGGCTTACCTGAAAGTGCAAAATAATTGTCCAGATTAATCCCAAAGTCAATTTGGGATTTCCATCTGTTATGTCATCATTTCTAATATTCACTAATTTCACCTGTTTTGCAAGTGAAGAAGAGATAAAATCAACTGTTTATCAAACCTGAACAAGTTATCTTTACCTACATAAAAGCAATTCTAAATTATACAAAGAAAAAAATTGAATAATTTAAATGTCAGTAGTCACCCAAATACTGTTTTACCCTTATTCTCAATCGTTTTATATTTACAAATTATTGAATAACAACAAAGAAAAAGCAGGTATTATTGCATTCTCGTCTTCTACAGCAGAAGTCCCAACCCAACCCCACAGCCTATACAATAGGGACTGGGCTGCTCAGTAGATGTGCAGCAGGCAAGGGAGTATCACCACCTGAGCTCTGCCTCCTGTCTGATAAGCCATAGCATGAGCTTCCTGTAGGAGTGCAAACCCTATTTGTGAACTGCACAGTTGAGGAATCTAGGCTGCACACTCCTTATAAAAATCTAATGCCTGATGATCTGAGGTGAAACAGCATCATGCTGAAACAACCCCTACTTGCCCCACCACCCAGCTCATGGAAAAATGGTCTTCCAGGAAACCAGTCCCTGTTGCCCGAAAAGTTGGGGACTGCCGTTCTAGAGCCAGTACCAAAAGCACTCACTTGTAAATACAAAAATACAACTTCTCAAGTGAGAGATCTTAAATACATGACATCTTAAAATTAGAAATAATTTTGTCTTTTAAAAATAAACTTTATTTTACTCTTACCATTAACTTTAAAACTATTCTAACAATTCTAACAACTTTCTCAAACTTCTGCTACAAGATTTTAAAATAACAAGCATTATTTTGCTATCAATATGCCATAAATAAATACATAAGTCACTGGGCATTCGGAAGGCTGTTCAAACATTTTAAAATAATATAATACTCATATTTAAAGCTTATCAACTGTCAAACTGTATAGTCAGGTAAATAATGCTATGATCTTTAACATTCACTTCCTGGACAAAATAATTTAATATCATGAATTAAATACTGAGAATTATATACTATGATATGTAACATTTTACTTCTTGAACAAAATACTGCCAGAAAACATTTCAGAAGTATCCTTCTGGAAACTTTCACTAGAAAGATGAATAATGAGCAAACACCAATACATTTAAAATATTTAAGCACTGAGGATTTATTAGTGTTTAATAGCAAAAAGCATTTTAATGTTCATAATATTAAAGAATAATAATAAAGAAATAATAAAAGCTAGTGTTCACCTCTCCCCCTTTTTCTCTTGCTTTTTTTTGGCGGCGGGGGGAGGACAGGGTCCCATTCTGTTACCCAGGCCGGAGTGCAATAGTGCAATCATGGCTCACCACATCTTCAACTTCCTGGGCTCAAGTGATCCTCCCACTTCAGCCTCCCAAAGTGCTGGGATTGCAGGCGTGAGCCACCACATCCAGCCTCTTCCTTTCTTTCAAACTATTAAAAAACAAAATTGTTGCCCCCCGACTCTCACTGTCTTCAGTAATTTTCAACTCTCCTACATTATTTTTCTTTTTTCTAGTAGCTGAAAAACTACTACTATTTTGGCTTATGACACTATAATACATAGCACCACCAAATCAAGACCATGTCCAATCTATTATTAATTCTTTTCCAAGATTTCTCCAGATACCTCAACTCAGTTGGGGGCTACTGTCAAAAATATGCTGTTGTATCTTTAACTACTCATACATTATCCAGTATTATCTACTTATAAAAAAACAAATGTTGTCTTATCACTAAGTATGACAAATGCTTACACTAAATTAAAAGTATTATATAAAGTATTTTTATAAAAATTAAGTATTTTTATATACTAAGCACAATATGTAATGTTCCCCACAACTAAGAAGTGTTCATAGGCATTCTTAACATTCTGTTGCTACTAAAATGTCATTAACTTCCTAGGCAAATGCAATCCAGATCAAACAGAAAGAAAATCAGAAGTTCTTATACCAATGGAAATGTAGTCACTTATAATTCCTCTGGGCTTATCCACACTATCAATTTCCTTTTCTTGGGAGCAAATGTTTAAACATGTTTTTAAATATTTGCTTCACCAAAGCACAAGCTTACTGGTTATAATTCACAGGCAAATTTAACCTTGTTACTCCCTGACATGTTTCTATGTAGATGTATTAGTAACATATGTTTATATGATTATAGTCTTTTAAAAGCATCATACCTGGCGTCTTTTCAAATAGTCAAGTGCAATTTGTACATTCTGTAGTCTGTGAAAACGCATCCGACCTTTTTCTCTGGGCTAAGAATAGAAAAATGCAGGTATAAAAAACAGTTTCTGTTATCACAGACCGTGCTAATTTTAATATACTTTCTGTTCATCTTAATATATCAAAACAGTATTTACTGTCCGGGTAATGTTATAAGATTTTCTAAGAAGTTTTCAATTTCCTCATATTGTCTGAGATTGAAGGTAAAACTATTATAGGGATTTTTTTCCAAATATATTTTATTTAGACATGTACTTTATTATGAATTTTTTATTTAAACAAAAGGAAAATAGAAAATGTCACAGGACATACAGACATTTCATATTTGGTAATAAAACCATTCTGGCCTACAATTACTTAGCTATGGAGGCACGAAAATAAGTAAATATCATTCATCATTTTACCTTCTTATTGAACACTATTAGCAAGAGGGTTTTTACAATTGTATATACACACACACATATATACATATGGCATATTAATGAAAATGAGATAAAGTAGCATGCAGTTAGTATAAAAATCACCAAGAAGGAGAAAGACAGAGAAGGTTTCTTTAGCCATGATAAGGAGAGAAAACCAATTAAAAATATGTATTTCCTCTTTATTTTATTTTAGCATTTTCACAAAATTGGACACTACAATCCTCAGAAAGGACTCTATACTACTTGGGGATGGACACAATTATTTTCTCAGTCTCAGGAAAAGTGACAAAGGAGAACTATTTTCCTTAATGCCGTTTCCCTTAAGAAACGTTACAAGTTAGCATGAAGGAAAACATAAGGAAACAGAGCTGAGAAATGCTTAACAAAAATACAAAGAATGGAGCTGAAATTTATCACATAAAATCTTCCAAAGGGAAAAAAGAAAAAAGACAATTGACAGCTTGGCTTCTTCAATATGCACAGGTTGCTGAAACCAAAGGTGCCATAATAAAACAGACAGCACACCACAGAAGGAAAAATAAGTATGTTGATAAATTTACCCACTGGATCCAACAAAAGCACAATTTCCAATAAAATCGAGGCGCACTAGGTATGTAGAAGAAAAAAGAAGCACGTCTGTCTTGCAAAGGTTAGCTTCAGTCAATTAAGTGCCACGGAGATTAAACAGCTCTGTGAGTCCTATCGGGATACTGGATTTTTAAATCTCCCTTTTAAATACCTTGAGACATATTAGAAAGGTAAAAAATGTCCATCAAATACCTATTGCTAATAGGTGTAGTTTAAAGCAGAAACTTAAATACTAAATAAAATTTCCCTAAGTTCTTTCATAAAAAGCAAAAACTTTTGCCATGTTTGAAATATCACTTTCAGAAACTGAATGAATTTACACAAAAATTAGCAGACTGGGTGTAAAATTTCCATGTTTATATACAATGTATATAAAATTGTTTAGCTAAAATGTCATCATGTACTTTAAGTCTGCTTAATTACCATGCGGTGCACAGTAATGTATAAACAATTCCATCATTTTAGCTCTCTGAAGAGAATTTAAAAGAGAAAATATTTCCTTTGTCCAATTTTTTGGTACATACACATCCACCTTACTGTGGGTTTGGTCCTTTCTACACTTTTCTAAAAAGGAGCCTGAACCCAGGAGTTACTTCTCTATCAGGTTAGCGCTCACCGCATGGGAACGGCTAGGTTAGTCAAGTTATGGGGGCGACACCTACCCCCTTATCCTCATCCTCCACATCCTCATGCTGTTCATATTCGCATGCTTCTGTTGCACTCACCAATCGTAAGGTCTTCAAAAAATCTCGCTCCCTTGGCTAATGAATACAACAGACAGAAGATAGGACAGCAAAGACACAAGACAGACCAGAAATGAAAAGAAGAGCATGAACAGAACATAATGAAGGAGAACAGGTAACCAAGAAGGGGAAGTAATGTTCACAAAAAAAGAAATGACACCTGCGGAATGGGTTAGACCATTTTTCAGAAAGCAATGTTTATTTTCTTGCTATTTGTAAGTCTTTTAATATGTGGTTATATTACGCATCCAACTTCTGCTAAGCAAAAAAAAAAAACCCAAAGGTAAAAAAGAAGCAAGAACAAAAACAGTATTTTAATTATAGAACTGATTATATAAGTGAAGTAATCAAACTGCTTCAGTCTCTCAAATTCCTATCAGTTGAGGTTTGAAAATGCTTAGGAATCTAACCAGAACTACTTTTTCAGGCAGAATTCACAACTCAAAAGATGAATCTTGCAAAAATCTAAAGAGTCTGTATTGAAAACACATTGGTCATATGCAGAAAAGATTACATGTTCTTTAAAATAAATAAGAAAGCTAAAACTTACCAAGGTATCTCCTGAAAGAACCTCTAAAAGAGAAATCAAATTGTGTCCATCTCTTAAGTCTTCATAGAGATCATTCACATGTTTTCGAACCTGCAAAGAGAAAAGCAAAATTTTGGGTCCTAGAACTCAGGATCTTCCTTAACATCCTTAAACATAAAAAGGAGACAAGTAAAAAACATTCCTCACGTGGTATTCATTCATGCACCTATTTTTTTAATTTTTAAAACTCTCTTATTACTGAAAAACTGAATTTAATTTAAAAACTAAAAAAAGCAAATTTCAGATTAATAATTCATAAAGACAATTCAAATTTTTAAGGCACCAGAACAAACATAAGCCTGGACTACTATATTGGGTTATAATTCTTCAAATACAGTCAATGCCTTGACTTTACTCACGATTCCCAATATGGCGACCAGAGCCACCTTAACAAGACGGTAGAGTTTTCTTGTTTTTTTTTTTTTTTTTTTTTTTTTTTTTTTTTTTT